GTGATGGCTAACCTTTTTGCCATCACATGCCAGGAAGGGGCAAGGGAGGTTCGCGTGATGTGTGCCCACGCCCATAATTCTATGCGCCCTGCCCCATCATGCACGCGTGACCCGCCCCCCTGCTCTTGGCACGTGATGGCCTGATTTTCTTTCTCACCTGGCTCCAGATCCTCTCTATGCATCTGGGGAGGGCGAAAACAGCCTTCCCCACCCCCTTAGAGGCCCGAAACGGTCCATTTCCCAACTTCCAGTTGGACAGGAAGTGATGTTTTTTGCTGTCCCCAGCCTCCAGAGACTCCCGGAGCTAAGCTGACATACCAGGTGACATGGCTCCGCGTGCCACCTGTGGCATGCATGCCATTGGTTCGCCATCATGGCATTAAAGTGTTCAATAGAAATTACACTGTGGTCATAAAGCAGGGCAGATTTACATTGTATTAAATTCATTTTATAAACCACAATGGTTGTGAAGCCACTCTGACCAGTGGTAGGTTGCCCCTGGTTTGGACCGGTTCTCAAGAACCGGTAATAAAACCGGCAGGAGGCTCTGCCCACTGACCCAGACGTCATCAGGAAGCTTCTGCTCATGCGGTTCCATTGTGAACTGGTAGTAAAGGTAAGTAGAACCCACCCCTGATTCTGACATGTGCTTTCAGTTTGTAAGAACCGGTTCAAAGAGAGACGCAGACCCTGATTGTTTTAAACACAAATAATTAATTGGAGTTAAACAGCCTGAATCGGATCTATGACAATCCGCTATGGCCAATTCGCCATGACCAGCTTGCCACAGTCAACTCACCAAGGACAACTGGCCACTGGACAATTCACCATGGCCAACTCGCTGCATGACATCTTACTGCAGGACAAGAGTTATACTAATATCAAAGAAATGGTGGCAAAAGGAAGGACTGAATGAAATGTGCATGGCAAACATTAAAATATTTTTTTATTTTATTTTAAATAATAATAATTATTATTATTATTATTATTATTTATTAAATTTATATCCCGCCCTTCTCCCCGAAGGGACTCAGGGCAGTGAACAGCCGAGAATTAAAATAACATGCAATATAAAAGTTAAAATAATTAAGAATAAATTAAATTAAACGGCCACCCCAATTTAAAACCCTTAGCAATACAATTAAAAATCCCTAAAACCTATTCAGGCCAGGCCGGCTTTCTGAAATAAAAACGTCTTCAGGGCCTTACGGAAAGTGCGGAGATCCGGAATTAAATGGAATTGTTAAATTTTCCAGATCAAAAAGATATCAACTATTCACCATATTCAAGAAAATCAAAGTAAGCTGTGTACACAGTTACTGTTTACTCTGGATTTCCACTCCAGAATTTCAGCAGAACAGTTTTCATCTCCTTGTTCCTAGGTAAAGGTATAGGCAAAGATTCCCCTCGCACATATGTGCTAGTCATTCCTGACTCTAGGGGGCGGTGCTCATCTCCATTTCAAAGCCGAAGAGCCAGCGCTGTCCAAAGTCGTCTCCGTGGTCATGTGACCGGCCTGACTAAACACCAAAGGCGCATGGAACGCTGTTACCTTCCTACCAAAGGTGGTCCCTATTTTTTCTACTTGAATTTTTTACATACTTTCGAACTGCTAGGTTGGCAGAAACTGGGACAAGTCATGGGAGCTCACCCCGTTACGCGGCACTAGGGATTTGAACCACTGAACTGCCGACCTTTCGATCAACAAGCTCAGCATCTTAGCCACTGAGTCACCATGTGCCTTGTTCCTAAGGGTATGTATTAATGGGTTCAACAGTAGGGTTATTTTGGTGTAAGAACATGCCCACCACACCATCCATGGCTCATTCAGCATATACATGTTTTACATATTTTCTGCTACCTACTCTGGATTCCCCGTCATTTCCTCTGGTTAGGGTTAGGGAGACAAAGCTGGAAATCAGGTAAGATGGCAAGAGGAGCCCTGTCTTGCTCCACACACCCCAAAATAAGACCTCCCTGATAATAAGGCCAAGGCCTTATTTTAGGGTTCAAAAAAAATATAAGATAGGGTCTTATTTTCGGGGAAACATGGTAGTTATTTTGGTCTCAGAACTCACTGTCTATCACATGATGGTTAACCTATGGCATGCATGCCAAAGGTGGCATGCAGAGCCATATCTGTGGGCACATGAGTGTTGCCCTAGCTCAGCTCCAGTGCGCATGTGCATGCCCACCAACTGATTTTCAGGCCTTCCGAGCCTACCAGAAGTCAGGAGATTGGCTGTTTCCAGCCTCTAGAGGACCTCCAGGGGGTGGGGAAGGCCATTTTCATCCTCCCCAGGGTCCAAGAAAGCCTCTGGAGCCTGGGGAGGGTAAAAAAAGGGCCTACTGGGCCTACCATGCCATCGCGTGCCAAAAATGGAGGGAGCGCAGTGGGCAGGGTGCATTGAATTATGAGTGTGGGCACATGCACATGTGGCAACTCCACGCTCCCCCCCGTCAGATAATAACATCAGTCTGCATGGAAGATGGCTTGGGGGAGTCTTCACAAACTAGATGTGTCTCTTCAATTGCTTAAATGTCAGTTCAGCTGCTCCAAATATATCTTCCTGCAGATTGTGAATGCCAATGAGATTTTTTTTATGCCGAGAGTTGCTTTAACCCAAAGGAGCCAAAGAATTGCCTTCAACAGATGTGTGGTAGAAGCTTGTAGAGAACCATGACATTCAAGTTAGGTTTTTTCCCACGTTTCCTGCAAGCTCCTGATTTGCACTGAGATGTTCCTTTATACTTGCAGATCTAACACACCTTGATGTTCCATCGAGAGGACACAGTCGTTTCTGGCCCATCAGAATCATGATTTTGCCTTGAGAACTTCCCTCTATATCTTTATCTTCTGTGAATCCCAAGCTTCCTCTCTTCTCATTCCTCAGAGTCAGAACCAAGGGACTCTCTCCTGAGTGATCACTGTCTGGTGAGCCAGTTATGGGTGCAAGAAATTCCTCGGAGAAGCTAATTTGCAATCAAGGCATGGGAGTCCAAATTTCACCCCTATTAAAATCAAGGAGCCCAATTAGTCATGACTTAATGCTCAATTGCATTGCATTGATATTTTATGGAGCAAAAGGATTCGAATTTGTGGCTCTTTTTGATCCAAAAGTAATTAATACCTGCCTGGAGAACAATTACCGCTTATAACAGTTTTTAATCCAGTTTTATTTTGGAGACTGTTTTATGAGGAAAGAAATCTCGCCATATGTGAAGAGTTGCACCTGTGTCATTGCTAGGTTTGCTGTTAGGTCAGAGGTATCAAAATCAAGATCCACGGACTGGATCTGGCCCATGATGTGGTCGGATCTGGCCTGCGGGATCATCCTGGAAAATGTATGGGTCCAGCCCGATTCGCTTTGGCTCAGTCTACCCATGTTGCTTCAGTCAGGGGTGGGCTGCTGGGGGTTCGCAGGGGTCTAGCTAAGATTCTGTGCAGTTTGGAGAACCCCCAAATCCCACTCCTGGCTGGCTCCGCTCACCCTGCCCCACCCCTCCCAGGAGTTTCTCTGCTACCAGTTCGCCAACTGGCTGAAAACCACCTCTGACTAGGGGAAGTGTCCTCCTCTGAAAATTCAGTAACTCACCACGGGAAACAGCTGCACACAGATCTTCACAGTTCTTGAGAAGAACACAAGAGAAAGCAGCAATATTTTACTACGTCTTTGCTCTTCTGGAAAGTAGGAGTTCATTGCAAGAATATTATAGCCAGTGGAAAAGGTCTCAAGATTGATGTGTCTGCTGTGTTTGCAGAAAGAAATTATCCAATAATGTCTGCAAATCCAACTATAGAATGTTCCATTGCTCAAGTTTAGTGAATAAAGCCACAAAAGAATAATAATGTTTATTTAAATTACAATGGCAGAGGTATTTCTAAAACACAGGAGAAGCATGCATAAAGGTATTGCAAAGTTATGAAGTCCATTTCAAAAAAAAAGTACAATCTCTTCAATGGCTCTTCTACAAAAACCAGTTGCTAAATAATTATTCTTTTTCCCTCTCTGGTCTTTTTCCTTCAAATGTTGAGATCTCTTCAGAAACTGGTCTTGTAGGAAGCAATGGAACACCAGCCATCATATATGACATCTTCGAAACAGACATGGTGGAAAGGATGATTTGCTGCTTCCATGACCAACAGAGCAGAGTTTAAGAAGGACATCAAACTTCTGTAATCAAGGTCTGGTTGGATGAGGACCTCTCTCAGGAGAGGAGAGGAGCTAGACACTCACTCTGCTAAACAAATACTGTAATTCCCTCAACACTGTCAAACTATTTACTAAGTCTGCACTACTATTAATCTTCTCATGATTCCCATCACCCATCTCCTTCCACTTATGATTTTATGACTGTAACTTTGTTGCTTGTATCCTTACAATTTATATTGATATTGATTGTTTCCTGATTGCTTATTTGTACCCTATGGCTATCATTAAGTGTTGTACCTTATGATTCTTGATGAACGTATCTTTTCTTTTATGTACATTGAGAGCATATGCACCAAGACAAATTCCTTGTGTGTCCAATCACACTTGGCTAATAAAGAATTCTATTCTATTCTATTCTATTCTATTCTATTCTATTCTATTCTATTCTATTCTATTCTATTCTATTCTATTCTATTCTATTCTATTCTATTCTAGGCAACACCATGTGGGAATGGATGAAGTGCAAACTTCAGGTTTCCTTCAGCATTGCTTACATCTCAGGTACTTTGAGCATCTGTTCAGACTTTCTCTTGAAACCATACATAGCTAGGATGACCATTGGTCATATTTGTGATTCCACTTCTTACACTTTTAAGCACCACCACTGAGTTAAGAATGAAATTATTACACACATCAGACTTTGTGTGAAAGTAGCTGCTGATCTTCATTTTTCTAATCAATCAAGCCATGAAATAGCTCAGAATTCCATCCGGAAATGATTACATACATTTAGTTATTCACCATATTACTTTGTAAAATTATTGTCTTCAGTGTACTTCCAGCTATCTATTCTGGATTCACCACCCAAAGTTTCACCAGAGCCATTTTAATGTCTTTGTTCCTAAGTGTGTATATCACGGGGTTCAACAAAGGAGTGATGGTGGTGTAGAATACACTTACCACACTATCCATAGAGTCCTGAGAACCTAGTCTCATATAATGATAAAACAAAGGCAGGTAATAAATAAACACCACAGTAAGATGGGCAGTGCATGTGGAGAAGGCCCTTTGCCGTCCTTCACTGCTACTGATCTTCAAAATGGCTGTGAGGATGTAAGCATAAGAGGCTAAGATGAGGAGAAAGCAGGTCATTGTTATAAAGCTCACGTCAACGATGCTCATCAACTCATTAAATTGTACGTCAGCACAAGACAGCCTCAGCATTGCAGGAATGTCACAAAAGACATAGTCAACATAGTTGTCCTCTCCATAAGGCAAATGAAAGGTGAGGGACGTCAGAAGTGCAGAATTGAGGCAGCCACCAATTATGGTACCCAAGGAGAGGAAGAGGCAGGCTTTCCAGCTCATGATGTTGGTATAATGGAGGGGTTTACAAATGGCCAAGAAGCGGTCGTAAGCCATCAAGGTGTAAAGAAAACACTCTGCACAGCCAATGAAATGAAAGAAGAAGAGCTGAGACACACATCCTCCATAAGAGATGATTTTTCCACCCGGAGTGAATCCTGCCATCACTTTGGGAACCACCACAGCTGAGAAGGCCATGTCCAGGATGGAGAGATGACACAGGAACCAGTACATGGGCTTGTGCAGTTGAAGGTTGGAGATCATCACCCCGATGATCAGGGCATTTCCAGAAAGAGTCAAGATGAACATGATTGAGAAGAAGAGAAGCAAGGGGACCTCTAGTTCTTCTGGATATGGAAATCCAGACAGGATAAATCTATTTGGTGCTGTTTGATTTGGACACTCCATAAATATATTTATTGAAATGCATAAAGATTCTTAGCCATCGCTACAGTTATTTTTTTCATGAAATATCTTGGAAGAAACATCCAACTACACATTCAGCTATTGATAATATTTCCCCAATAACCATTGTATATAGTGAAGTATCTTCTTCAGGGATCTTGTCATGGGTAACTATTGATATCAATCAGATAATTGCCTTACTAAAACATCAAGCTATTTGTTTCAAAGCATAAAGATTAACTCAAATATTAGCCATCTCTAGAGTTAAATTTCCCATGAAGTATCCACCAAGAAATATCCAACACAGTTGCATATTGACAACACGTTCTCAGTAATCATGATTCAGAGTGCAGTATGTTGTTTCAAATAATAATAATAATAATCAGATAACTATTGATAGCAATCAGAAAATTTCCTAGCTAAAAGCAGGTCCAATAACCTTGGTAGAATTATTTTGAAGGATGTCCTCCATTGTATACTTGAGTATGTAAACTGGTTCTCGTTGGAAGCTTGTACTTTGTAAAATGAATTTCATATCCGCAATATTTTTTTTCCCCTCTGCTATCCTGTTCAGCCCGTTGTAAGAATGAATTGGAACTGTTTGAGCTGTTATTCAAAATCTGGAATTTCCTTTTGGGTAATAAGTATGTTGAAGAGGTAGAAGATCTGGTACTTTTGTTTAATTACGAAGAAGATGATGTGGATGAATTGTGCATCTTCATTTGTATATCTCAATAGTTATTTTTGCCTTATTAGTTTTGTAAGCCACTACGATTCCCTTTGACTACAGAAACATTTAAAAAGTTTGCAATAAATAAAACTGCAAAGGTTAATAAGGACTAAACCAACAACCTGTTCCCCCAAAACTCTTTTATTATAGCTATTAAAATACTTTGAGTTCAGAATAGATCTGATTAGGATATTACTATGGATCAACGCTGGATTTTTGGAGTTGATTTTTTCCCCTACTTCTTCACTGTCCCCCCACTCCCACATTTCAGAGGCTCACAAATAATCTGATAGATAAATCATACGTAATTCATACCATTTACTAACATATCTGATAGGTTTGCTCTAGTGCAGTTATCTGGAAGACAATACTGATAGAACCTTTGAATCTTGCAATCGCTTAACAAGAAGCAATTATTTCCTTGATCACTTCAGATAATAACTTCAATGGTTTTTTTTTCCTGCATGGGAGATGCTTCTCAGAGTAAATCTGTCTCTTCAATTACATTAACGTCATTTCAGCTGCAGCAAACATATTTTCCTCCAGACTGTTGATGTCAATAAGAATTTTTTTCTTCTTCTCAGAGTTGTTTTAACCTTCTGCATGAAAGCCAGCCAAAGAAGTGCCTTTGTCAAGTATTTGCAAGTCATTGGCACATATATCATACAGACACTAGTGGAGGCAGAAAGTGCCCCCACCCCTATTTGGAGAGGAGGGGCTTACACTGAGTATAAAACACCCTCTAACCTTTCCACCATGCTCTCTTTTACGTTTGTTCTCCATGAGACATGATCTTTGATAGGGGTAGTCACACACGCTGACCAAGGGGTCTCTGGTATATCAGAACACGATTTTGCCCTGAGAACCTCTCTCCGTACCTTCATCTTCTGTGACTCCCAAGCTTCCTCTCTTCTCATTCCTCAGAGCCAGAACAATTTGTCTTTCTCCTTGATCACTCTCCAGGGAGCCAATTATAGATAACAGAAATGTCCCTGAGAAACTCATTTGCTAACAAATGGGGTCCAAATTTGTGCTCCACTAAAATCAAGCAGTCATGACTTCATGTCCAATTGCATTGCTGGTAGGGTGGGGACATTTATGGAGCAAAATAATAATAATAATAATAATAATAATAATAATAATAATAATAATAATAATCATCATCATCATCATCATCATCATCATCATCATCATCATCATCATCCTTTGTGGGTGTTTTTGACCCAAAAGGAATTTATACCTAGAGAACAATTACTGTTTATAACAGTGTAGGCCGCGATGCGATTCAAGTAATTTAACAACTGGTTCTCCATAATGACCAGCTGGATAGGCATAGCTGGGGGGATGGGTCATGTGACTGAGTGACCGTGGCCAACTCAATGTCACTCATGGCAAGGTGGGGTGGTACAGGCGGGGCGAAGTGGCGGTGCTGATGGCCGGAGCCTTAGTGCGGGAGCGAAGCATTGCTCTACTTGCCTTTGTGCAGCAACAGCATTCCGCCTTTGTCGCGGTACATTTGCGCTCAAGGCAGCCCTCGCCTCCGGCCATTTTGGGTTTGGAGCTGTAAGCCACATCTGGGAAGCACTGCTGTGGAGACAAGTGGCTGGGTCTGATTCTCCGGCACCTCATCTCTTGCTGAGTCTTGCTGCCTGACAGTCAGGGTTTTTAAAAAGATTTTTGCAGCAGGAAATGGCGGGTGGCTACTTCCGGCCTTTGTTGTTGCAGCTGGGCATGCATGCCTCGGTTGCTTGGGGAGACTCGTGACCTGATTTTCACCCTATGTTCACTGCCATCAGCTCATGGTCTGCCCACTTACCTGACCCGGCTGCGGCTGATGCCGCTGCCGTTGCCAGGGGGGAGTGGAGCAGGGTCGCATTGTGGCTCTGTGTCATAGTGGGCTCCAGGAGGAGGAGGGTACCCCATCTTCCCCATTGTGAAGCACGCTAAATTTCACTGTGCTGCGTAAGGCACTGCAAGAGCAGCGGGCAGGCCACTTCGGCCATGAGGTGGCAACAGCACGTATCCATATAGTAAGGGAATTTAACCTAAATAGTCCATTTTAATAGTCCATTTTATGAGCTGCGGTGGCACAGTGGTTAGAGTGCAGTACTGCAGGCTACTTCTGCTGAATGCCAGATGCTTGCAATTTGGCAGTTCAAGTTTCACCAGGCTCAAGGTTGACTCAGCCTTCCATCCTTCCGAGGTGGGTAAAATGAGGACTCTGTAAATCTCTTAGAGAGGGCTGTAAAGCAGTGTGAAGCCGCAGGTGGGCTTCACATAATTTAACAACAGGTTCGTCCAGAATCGAAAATGTGAGTATGCACGCCTTGCACACATGTGCGCTGCATCAAAAACATGCCAATTGTATAGGACAGGGTAGCTTCGCTTCAGTGGTGAAATGTAAAATTTGTTACTACCGGTTCTGTGGGCGTGGCTTGGGGGGTAATATGACTGGGTGGGTGTGGCCAACTTTTTTCTTTTTTTACTTTTGCTTTTAAAAGGCTTTGATGGTCAGACAATTTAGCTGGGATCGTCAGAGGCTTTTAAAAGCATTTTTTTTCTACAACCTCTTGGCAGAAGAGTTGTAGAAAAAATGCTTTTAAAAGCCTCTGATGATCCCAGCTGAGCTGCACGATCATCAGAGTCTTTTTTTTTTACTTTTAAAAGCATTTTTCACCTGAAGAGGTAATACTTAAATCTTTTAAATACTTTTAAAAGTAAAAAAAAAAAAAGCCTCTGATGATCACACGGCTCAGCTGGGCATGGAGGTGGGGAGGCGCAGGGATTTTTGCTACCGGTTCTCTGAACCATCCGCCGCCATCGCTACCAGATCAGGCGATCCGGTCCGAACCGGGAGCATTTCACCCCTGCTTCGCTCACTCACGTGCCTTGCGTACATGTGCACTGCATCAAAAACATGCCGATTGTATAGGACGGGATAGCTTCGCTTGCTTGCATGCCTTGCGCACATGCGCACTGCATCAAAAACACAGCGATTGTATAAGATGGGATAGCGCCGGAGTGGGTGGGCGGGCCCAGCCGCTGGCTGTAACTACTGGTTCTCACAGTTCTGAACCGGTAGCAAACGTAAGTGAAACCCACTACAGCTCAAAGGTATGGCCCATATTTGTAAAGGCATTGGAGAGAATCTGAGAAGTGATTTGTCCTTCGGTGTTCCCCATCTTGCAACGTGAATAACTTTAAGATTCAGAAACCCAGTCCCCAGGCTTAACCAAGTTGGTTTGAGAAGCAAATGGGAGTTCTGTAATAACATCTGTTATTATATAAAGTGAACATCTTCAATGCCAGTAACAATTCACAAGGGAAACGGTTCATTCCAGAGGTGGGTTTCAGCAAGTTCTGACCAGTTCTGGGGAAACGGTAGTGGAAATTTTGAGTAGTTCAGAGAACCAGTAAATACCACCTCTGTCTGGCCCGTCCTCATCTATTCTCTGCTTCCTGAGTCCCAGCTGATCGGGAGGAAATGGGGATTTTGCAGTAACCTTCCCCTGGATTGGGGTGGGAATGGAGATTTTATAGTATCCTTCCCCTGCCGTGCCCACCAAGCCACGCCCACAGAACCGGTAGTAAAAAAAAATTGAATCCCACCACTGAATCCCACCCCTGTGTAAAGCGGTATATAAGTCTAAGTGCTATTGCTATTAAATCTGAGTTTCTATCTCTCTTCTACTTGACTAGAGAAAATTGATCTGGGCTTGATCTGGTTAATGATCTGTTCTTTAACCTCCCATTTTCAAATAAGTCTCCCTAGACTTGGCCAGCAGGGGTGCTATTATTTCTTTTCCTTGGAAAACCATGAAACTCTCTTGCTGTGACCTTGAGGGAGACCAAAGAATAAAAGAGAAAGAGGTGGTGACAAGCACACTAGCAATAAATTAGCTTGTTGCAACCCTCTATCAGAGCTATGGGAAGTTCCTGAACTGCTAGGCAAATACATGAGTCCCAGAAGAGCAGTCCAAATCTTAAACCCACCAAGGATTTAGCTAAGTGTCACTGCTATATTGTCTTCTGGTTAGATGTTCTCTGGTGCGCCAGCGTTAAAAACAGACTTCTCTGAACTCTGAACTAGTATTGAAAAGGAGAGTTGCTGCTTTCAATGAGACACTGATGCAGTGAAACTCTAAATTTCTACAAATAGGTAAGAAGCAACTGAAGAGAGCTCTGTAATGGAACAAGCTCTTAAACACTCTTCTTTATACCAAATAGAGAGGTAAGATGCTATGTTATTAGAAACCTAGGATTCTTCATCTGG